CCACTTTTCAAAGCTAAGATCCATCCTGTACCCCCGAGTTAACACAAACCTTCTCTCTAATAGCTTATCCTCATCCTACTAGTCTCTGCAGGTTCTCCCAAACCACCCACCTTTGTCACTCACCCATCACACGGCAGGGTCTTCAGGCTTTCCAGAGGATTACAACTTCTGATCCTTTGGCTCATTTTCAAAAGATCCGCCAGCCAGCCTGTCCTCACCGCACCCCCCCGCAGTGCCGCACAGGTTTCTCCCTGTTAAGACATGGACTGCTGGGCCCCACCCCCCAGAGTCTCTGATTTCATGAGCCAGAAATCTGCACTTCTATCAGAGTCCCAGGTGAGGCTGCTGCTGTGGGTCCCGGGATCACTCTTGGAGAACCGTTAGTCTAGGGAAGTTGGGTGCAGGGCCTCTGGGGCTAAGCTGCTGAGCTCCCAGCTCTGCTGCCTTGTAGCGGGGCCGCTCTGCACCACAGCTGCTTCATCTATAAAATCAGGATAATAACAGTCTCTCCCTCGTAGGTGAGTCTGGAGAGGTCGGGAAGCGTTAACACATGCAGACTGTGTGTCCGGTACATGGCAAGTGCTCCATAAAACATGCTGTTATCAGCGTAACAACAACAACAACAACAAAAAAGCACCATTCCTGGGTTTCAGTCCAGGCTTTCCTACTGGCCATGTGACTTTAAGGACATCATCTTGCCTCCATTTTCCCGTCTGTACTAAGAGGGTAGTGATAACCCACTTTACATTCCACACAGGGCGTCCTGAGGATCGAGCGGAATCTGTGTGCGTGCCCTTTTCAAACGATAGGCATTGTATGAACCCTTGCAGCTAGGTGTTACGGAAAAACGTCAATTTACTTGAAGACCCGGCATAGCGTCTCTGCCTCCTTGAGGCTCGGTTTCTCCTTCTCTAAAATGAGGGACATGATAGTGAGAGCCTCGGAGAGCTGGGAGATGATGTCCTGAGAACCCCTCCCCTGAGGTCTCTTCCTCACTCTCACCTTCAGTGAGTACCAGGGTCTAAGGATTTCAAATCAGGCTCAGTGCTGGCACCGGCACCTTGCCCAGTCCCCTCCCACAGGTCTGCCCCAAGGAGCCGCCACATTGGAGAGCCCTCCAGCTTGAAGCCTGGGCTGACTCGCACATCGGCCAGCCCCCTCTTCTGGGCCCCAGAAGCCCCGGCGTGATAAGGCCGTGACAGGAGAAAGGGTGGGCCGTCCTGCCCAGATCCCACGCCGGGCAGGCCCTCCGTAAACACCCGCCTGGCAGAGGCCTTGGCAGCCCCTCCCCCGCTGCCTGCAAACATCTCGCCCCTGGGAGCCATCAACTCTGGAAGTGAATTCCTCACAGCGTAAGAGGTTTCACAGCAACTTTATTCTCCAGGAGAGAGGTAGGAACAGCCCTTCCCTCCTCCAGGAGGGAGGGAGCAGTCGGAGGCCTGTTTAATTTAATTTAACGTAAGATGGCTTGCCAGGTTGCCCCTGGCAACAGCTTCAGCTGCTGCTTCAGTTACAACCAGAAGAATTTTTAAAGAGACAGCCCATTTCAGGGCCAGAATTGCACAGCAGAGCGCATGGCATCCGCCAGCTTCATCACGGAGCTGGAGGATTAAACCTCAGGCACAGCGAGGTTTCAGACCAGATCCCTTTAAACAATTAACTCCATTCCGTGTCTTCCATAAGCCGAAATCTAAGAAGGGACTGTCTTTGTGGTGTCACTCATCCAGCTATAATACTTTTCTGAAAATCAGTCTTCTGGTTGAAGGGGAAGGAGGGTCAATCGAGTTGTCCCTGCAATTCAGGCATACTGCCACCAGGTGGTAGTATTGCTTGCTTTGTTCAAACCATAACCAGGCTCTTGAATTACTCAAGCCTATCGGAATGGTGGCGAACCACTGGGTTTTTAAGCCCTGATACTAACTTCTGTGTGACCTTTGGTAAGTTGCTTCATCTCTGTGGTCTCAGTGTCCTCCAAGATATAATAAGGAGGTTGATCAAAATAATTGAGTGTTGTGGGCGAGGCTTGAGGCCAGGACTATGAAGACATGCGTTACACCCCTAACTCCATTCAGCTTTAACCCAAACCAGGAGAAACGGAGCAAACATTAATGGAGCAAGTACTCCAGGCTTGGCTTCACGTGCCTGTGCGGTTGGTATCGTTATCCTCCTTTGCAGATGAGGACACAGCCCGAGGTATAACTCTTCAGGCAAGTGCCAGCCATGGCCACCTGGCCTCCGCTCTTGGTGTTACAGCCCCCATGTCCACTACCCCTGCTCTCGCTTGCGACCACACTTCCTTAGAAGGAGCCTGATACGGGGAACAGGTTCTGTCTCTACCTGACATGACTCAGTTTGGCCAACCTCAAAGTGGGCCTGGCGTCAGAGGTCATGAGGTCATACCTTCCAGCAGCCAGGGAGCTTGAGGCACACATGCCTTCAATCTCTCCATGGTCAGGACCAGATCTGATGTCCAGGTCTTCAGCCAGCTTGGCCCACAGTCGTTGTCCCCATGAATCCGAGGTCCCGTCCCACATCCCAGGTCCTCTGCAGGTGCCGCGGGCAAGGTTACCCAGCAGCTGACCTCAGCTGTGGCTTTGGCCAGTGTTCCCCCCGAGCTCTCAAGGATGCCCTTTACCACTTGAGACCTGCTTCTCTCCCCTCCGGACAGCCCTGTTCCAGCTAAAGCCCCTACACATATCCCCTCATACAGAATAGGGTTACTCTCCAGGGTGGATGTAAAAACACATCGGACTTTGGAAGTCTCAGCTCTAACTCCTTCTATGGCTCCCTGCTGCCCTGGGGGTGAGCCCCAGGTCCTAAGCCTGGCACTCAGAGGCTCCTCCTGGTGTAGCCCTCCTGGCTCATCACCACCCCCCACCCCACCCCCTTCCAGCCACTTGGGGCTGCATGCAGCCCCAGACACACCATGCTCACTCATCTCAGCCCTTGCACACGATATGCCCCCTCCGTCTGGAATGCCTCCTCACATCACATCCGCTGGGTTGCTTCCTACTTGTCCTTGGGAACCCTGCTCTAGCTCGCCCTCCTCTGGAAGCCTTGGGGGTACCCCTGGATCTTGTAGGGTACCTCCTCCCACACCCCTGGTGTTCCTTTACTCTGTGTCTTTGGTTCTGACTTCCTGCCAGACCAGGAACTCCTAAAGGCAGGACCTGCCTCTTTCCTCTCCCATCCACATGGCCCAGCCTGGGCCCCACAGGAAGGTACTTGGGGAGGAGTGGCTGAGAAATGCACGCAGTGAGGCCTCCTCTTGGTAGTCTGTCTGTCTTGGTTCTCCCACTGGGATCTGACTCACAGGTTCCCTTCCTCTCCTCCTCCCTCCAAGCTCATCCATGGCCTCCCCGGAGCAGCTGCAACGTAACTGCGAGCTTTAGCTCCCCCACACCACACCTCCACACACATGCTCCGCTCGCCAGGCTGCCCACACATCTCCATGCCTAGCCCTCCTTCGGATGCCTTGTCCCCCGCCCCTCCCTCTGAAATACCACTGCCATTCAAGACCCACCCCACGGCCCATCCTCTGTTAGACTTTGTCTCTGTCCTGCTGAATTTGTCTGCATCCCTCTCAGGGCCTCGGTCACACTCTGCCTTGTACTATCATTACGGGTAGCCTGGTGTGGTGAGGGGAGCATGGGTTTTGGAGACTACCAAAGGGGTTCGAATCCCAACTCTGACATCGCACGCTGTGTGAACGTGTGAATGTGAGCAAGCCGCTTCACCTCTCTGAGCCTTTTTTAAAAATATATATATTTTATTGATTTTTTACAGAGAGGAAGAGAGAGGGATAGAAAGTTAGAAACATCGATGAGAGAGAACATCACCCAGCTGCCTCCTGCACAACCCCCACTGGGGATGTGCCCGCAACCAAGGTACATACCCTTGACAGGAGTCGAACCTTGGACCTTTCAGTCCACAGACCGATGCTCTATCCACTGAGCCAAACCGGTAATGGCACCTCTCTGAGCCTTCACATGTCCCTTCGTAAAATGGGATGAGACCCAGGTGTTGTGAGATTGAGGTCATCGGGATAGGATCCTGACACGTGGCAGGCACTCCACACCCGCACGCTGTTATTTACGCCTGGGTCTGCCTCCCGGCCAGGCTGCGAGCCCATTTGGGCCAGAGTGCGGCTCCCTTTCAGCTCCACATCCCACCGCACCCAGCATGGGCCTCCCACCAGACGCCCAGAAACGCAGGCTGCATGGAATGCATTCCCCCCCAGCTGCTGGGAGCGGGGGGAGAAGAGAGGGAGGATGGGGTCTGAGCTGAGGAAGCCACAGTGGGGTGGGGGTGAGTGCAGAATGGAGCCTGGAGCTCGTCGACAGGAGATGAATGCGGAGGGAGGGGCTGGAGCCCGAGCGGAGCTGCTGACATGCACTGGGGGTTTTATTGGTTTTCATTAAAATTCCTTCCCGAGGCAGGAACAGCTACTCCCATAAATAACAGCATAAATATTTTATCTGGTGCCCAAGTCAGTCTAAATGCACGGCAGGGTTGGCAAGAATAACGATGGGAGGGGGACCCGGGGGGTCCTGGGCCTCAGCTGAGCTCACTTAGCAGGCCCAAAGGGGCTTTCTCAGGAAGGTGGGAGCTGAGGGGGCCGTGAAGGGGGAGAGCGGGTGGACAGCGGGGAGAGGTGACCAGCGGAGTGTGGGCCCCTGGGTGGGGGGTGCAGAGCACAGGCTGGGGGCCAGGGAGGGGAGCTTAGCTTGGAGAGCAGGACAGGAGGGGAGGGAGTGTCTCCCGTGCAGGGAATTCACACAGGGCATCTCGTCAGATCCTCTGTGGCCAGAGGCAGGAAGTGACTTGCCCAAGGTCATCCGGCCAGTCAATGGCAGAGCCAGGACCGGATCAGGAATGTTTAAGGCCAAAGCCCCTGTACGAGTGGCTGCGTCTCGGGGTTCAGGGGAAATGTGGGGACCTACGAACAGTAGCCTGAGCACCTCAGTAACAGCAGCACCGGCCATTCTCTGCTTCCCCAGATCCCCATGGAGGAGAAAAGGGGCTGGTACTTCACCATGGCAACGCTTTTCATCAGGTCAGGCTGGGAAGGGGGCACGGGGTGGGGGGTGGGGGTGTGGCCTGGAGCCCAGGGGAGAAGTGGCTGAGCCCATGTGCATGGCAAGGGCTCCCCACGCCCCCCTCCCTGCCCGTAGCCAGGGAAAGGGAGGACTCACAGCACACGGGGGTGGGGGGGCAGTCTGGGGGGGTGCCAACCAGCTGCCTCCCCTCCTCGGCCACAGGCTCGATGGCATCTTCCTGGAGCTGGGCAGAGAGGAGCAGACGAGGCTGCCCGCCTTCAACCGCACCCTGGCCCTGCTCCGCCAAGTCCTCAAGTCCTCGGACCCCCACCACCGAGGTAGGGCGCGGGGAGGGTGGAGAGCGGCCTCTCTCTGTCCTCCCCCCACCCCCACCCCAGCACTGCCTCCCTTTTTTGGACCCTGTTTCTCTCCCTCACCCTCTAATATAGGGGTGTCGAACTCAATCAGAGAAGGGGCCAAAATCTAAAATCCAGCCTAAATCGCGGGCCGAATGGTTTACTGAACAGTCATAAACTGTCATTGTGATGGAAACGCAGCGGAGTGCAGTGATGACAGCGAGGTGCGGGCCACATTGCAAGGCCTGGCTGGACGGATTTGGCCCGCAGGCCTTGTGTTTGACACATGTGCTCTAATATGTCCACTTGTTCATTGAGAGCTCACTCACCTTGCACAGGTGAATACACCCATCACAGATCACTACGCCCGCACGTGTTCGGGTGCGTGTCTCAGGCCTAACATGGAGAAACAGCTTCTACCTCGGCCTCTGAGCCCAGCTTCTGGCTGGGGCCGGAGGCTGTGCTGGAGACAATGCCCCGCAGGCATTGTCCCAGGGCCACGGGGCTGGAGCCGGGGCCAGAACTTCCGAGCTGCAGCCGGAGAGGCTGTCACCTTCCAGGTCCCCCGAGGGACGCAGTAAACACAGGTTGGCACCACCGTGCGCTCATCCATTCACTCAGGCGTCCCCTCTCCCCACCTCTGTTCCTTTCGGTGGGTCCCTGAGTGGCCCTCCGGGATTTCCTGCCGCTGACCCTCCCTTTGTCTTTCTGGGAGCCGACATCTGGGTGCAGCTGGCGCCCTCCCTCCTCCCTGCTGCCTCCTAGAGACTCCTGTCCCTCCCTCCTCCCCCCAGCCCTGGCCTGGTGCTACCTCGGGATGCTGCTGGAGAGGAAGCACACCTTCTCCACCACCCCCATGGGCGTCCACGACTGCGGGTTCTCAGGGACCGACCCCCTGGATTGCTTTGGCAAGGTATGTGCCCCCAGCCACACCCGCTCTCCAAACTGGGATGGAGCCCACCACCCCGTCCTCCTCTTCCCGAACCCTCTGCTTCTCTGGGTGTCATCCCCCACTTTCACCTCCCCCTGAGTGCCCACCCAGGAAGTGCCCTCCCTCCAGGCCTTTCCCTCCATCCCAAACAAAACAGAGGGGCTCCCCGTCATCGATCCTCTTTGCCAAAGAATCAGGCGTCCCCCCCCCACACACACACACACCCAGTCTGACCCAAGCCTGTGACCCAAGCCTGTGTCCAGCCTTGTCTCCTATGCTCTTCACCACTTCCCAGATACACCCTCAGGCCTTTCCTCTAGGGCAGGCGTCCTCAAACTTTTTAAAGTGGGGGCCAGATCACGGTCCCTCAGAGAGCTGGAGGGCCAGACTATATGAACTACTAATTCCCACTGTAACACCTCGGCTGCGCTCACTGCCCAAAAAACCTGGCGGGCCGGATCAGACTCCTCTGCGGGCCGCATGTGGCCCGCGGGCCGTAGTTTGAAGACCCCTGTTAGGGCCTTAGTTCTCATTGTCCCTCCCACCTCCAGAGGCCTAGTGCCGTGGTCGGCAAACTGCAGCTCTGTTGACTAATGAGTTTACTGACCACTGGGATAGGGGCTTAATCACAAGGAACAACAACAGCCCGTAATTATTGGAATCAAGAGTCTAGGTCAGTGGTCGGCAAACTCTTTAGTCAACAGAGGGGCAAACAGCAGCTCGCGAGCCGCATGTGACTCAGAAGCCGCAGTTTGCCGACCACTGGCCTAGAGGAAAGAGGATGGGTTCAGCCAGGGTCTAGTGCCGGCTGTGCCCACAGGCTGTGTGATCCTAAGGCGAGTGAGTCCCTTCCATCTCCGAGGCTCGTTCTCTGTTAATTATGTGGCCTGTCTGCCTGCTAGATGATTGAGAAACTCAAAGGAGCTGACAAAACTGTTCATTATAAACTGTAAAGTGCTGTTCAAGCCTTATTCTTGGCGCCTTGTGTAAGTGGCAGTTTCTGTGCTCGGCTCAGTTTGGAAGTCTTCCCTGGAGGCCAGGCCTGTGCTACCACTCACCCGGGCCCGCAGCACTGCGCCCTGTTGTTGGCTGGTGGGTGATGAGCACCTTCTTGATGAGAGATCTCAGGACAGCATTAGCACTGGCTGGTGAGTGTTCTGAGAGTTATGTCCACTTTAACAAAAGCACGGCCTTCCCCCCGCCTTGAGCGCCTGCTCTGAGCTGGGGCAGCGAGATGCACAGCGGGCCTGGCCCTGCAGGAACTCACCTCTCAGGGCAGCAGGGCACACAACGGCAGCCGTCAGTAAATCTGGGGCTCAGTGCTGTGGCCGAGCTGGAGACACCGCACTGGGTACTGGGAGGCAGAGGCTGGTTCTGGCCCCTTCCCCACCTGCCCTGGGAAAGCGGGGAAGAGCACACTGGCTGTGTCTTGAGGAAAAGCGGTTTGCTTGGGTTCTGGAGAGGTTCACTGCACATGACCCATGAACACGGCAGAGAGCACGGCAGCAATGAGCTGTAACCCCAAGTGCAGGGCTCCAGGAGAAGGCTGAGCTTCCCGGCGGGTGGATGTGGGCAATGAGCATTGTGACTACCGGGCTCTGTCCAGAGCTGGGGCTCCTGAGGGTCAGGCGCTATTTAGCTAGTTCTTGCAGACAAACAGACCAATTGTTTGCTCTTGCCCTCCTCCCTTTACCCACCCAGGCCATCGAGATTGCCAAGGACCAGCCCCCGATCCTGAATCGCCTGGCCAAAATCTTCCACTTCCTAGGGAAGCAGGATATGGCCATTGGCACCTGCAACATGGCCCTGGATATCCTGCGCGACCCGGAGCTCAACTGGCAGGCGTACTGCACGAGGGCCAAGGTGAAGCACCCCTCAGCGCCACCTTCTCCTGCCGCGGGAATCAGACAACGGGGCCACGGAGCTCAGAGATAATGAGGCCTTCTTGGTGAAAGGAGCTTAGGAGTCACGAGGCACACGGTTTAGGGTCTGTACAGCTGTTGAAAGAATAAAGGACACCCCTCCCCCACCCACCCATTGACCACGTAGGTTATTGTGGAACGGATATCCGTTCCACAATAACCTACGTGGTCAATGGCCTGCAGCCTCTTCTTGACTGGTACCCAATGTAGTCAGACTGTCCTGGGTTGAAATCTGACAACCCCACTCATCACTCTGGGACTGGTGGTAGGACGACTAAGTGTGGTAGCATCCAGTGCACCATGCCTGGAGCACGGGAGGTGCTGGTGAAAGGTGGTAGGGTAGATCAAGGTAGCCTAAGGCAGTAAATCAGAGCTCTCCCCCCAGTGACTTTGACCCATCCCCGTGCTCAGATTTTAATAGCATTTATCACGTGAAAGGGCAATGTGTACTTGTTCGTAATCATCTTCCTACGAGAATGTTACGTTCTACCGGGACAGAGGCCTCCTCTGTCTTATCACCATTGCACCCCACTGCCTAGCACAGGGTCTGGCATATGATGGGCACTCAATACATATACATTAAATGAATGAGTGCATGAGTGAAGGGCTCTTCGTCATTGCACAAACAGGGAAACTAAGGCTCAGAAGGGGGAGTGGGAGCCCAGGTTGGCACAGCATTAAAACTTAGAACTGCTGGGTGCCAACCTCCGGGGCTTTCTGCTACACCACAGAAGCTCCCCGAGTTGCTGTGGATAAGGAGACTGGCTTCATTTAGGGCAGGAAGGCGGGCAGAGGGCCCTTGCTTGGAGCATCTTTCCTGAGCTGACTCTCTGCGGGCAGGTCCATGTCAGAGCCTACCTTCACGACCTGGAGCGGGTCAAGATGGGGCTCGGAGGCATGCCAGACAGGAACCACCTGGCCTGCGCCAAGGCAGACCTGGAGGAAGTGGTCAAGGTATGCCCCGGCCTCAAGACCTACCTGGACATCGGCCAGGTAAGGCAGCTTCTTGGCTTGCTTGCTTAGTCAATGGCTTACTCAGAACCTATTTACTTTCTGCCAGGCCACAGGGAGTAACAGGGGGCATCGCCCTACCTGATAACAGTACCCACCTCCTACGGGTGAGGATTAAATGCACGTACATCGTTTAGAACCGGGCCTGATTCATTCTAAGCACTCGGGAAGTGTGCATAGGGAATGATTACCAAAAGGTGGCAAGATCATATTTTATATTATGAGAAAACTGAGGCCCTAGCCGGTTTGGCTCAGTGGATAAGAGTGTCTGCCTGCGAACTGAAAGGGTCCCAGGTTCGATTCCAGTCAAAGGCACATGCCCAAGTTGTGGGCTCCATCCCCAGTGGTGGACTTGCAGGAGGCAGCCGATCAATGATTCTCTCTCATCATGGCTGTTTCTATCTCTCCCTCTTCCTTCCTCTCTGAAATCAATAAAAATATATTTAGAAAAAAATAAAAGAAAACTGAGGCCCACGAGTTGCCTTGCTCAAGGTTACGTGGCCAAGAGTGGTAGGGTTGGAACTGGGATCAGAATGCTGCCTCTCCTTTTCCAGGAAAGGGGGACCAACATTGGCGGTGAATAACGGGGGAAGCGGGAGCAGCCAGGGCGCGTGGGGGTGGGAGAGGGGGAGGAGGTGGGGTGGAGGTAGGGGTTTGAGAGGCTCACCCTGGCCACCCCACCCCAGGTCTACTACTACATGGGCGTGGACGCGATGCGGGAGCTGCTGGCGGTGGATGAGGCGGCGCTGAACCAGGCGCTGGTCTTCCTGGCCAAGGCGGGCGAGCTGGAGCTGGGCGCCACGCTGCCGGAGCTGCAGCTGCTGCGGGGCAAGTGCCTGCGCATCAAGGGCGAGGAGGCCAACGCGGCGGCCTGCTTCAAGCGCGTGGTGGAGCTGGACGACGCGGGCTGCAGCCACCCCGAGGGCTTCGGCTGCCTGCTGGAGGCGCTGCTGGCGCAGTGGAGCCAGGCGCAGCTGAGCGACGGCGAGCTGGGCCGCGAGGTGGACGCGTGGCTGCGCCGCGCCCAGGGCAAGTACCCGGCGGCGCGCCTGCGGCAGGAGCTGCAGCGCGTGTGGCGCGGGCACACGGGCGAGGTGCTGGGGCTGGCGCGGGCCCTGGTGGCCCAGGGGCGCCCGGCGCTGGTGCGGCTGCTCTTCGAGACCATGGAGCGCGAGGGCGAGGGCGAGGGCGCCGGTGCCGGGGCGCCGCGGGGCCGCCGGGCCTTCTCCTTCTGAGGCCCCGCCCCCGAGGCCCTGCCCACAGCTGATTGGACCACGTCTGGGCCCTGCTTGAACAGAGCCAATCAGATTCTCTCTCAGGAATTGGACTGGGGCCTGGGCGACTGAAGGGCAGGTTGACTATGCCCTGGAGGTGGAAGGACCTGGATCGGCAACGGAAGGACAGAATTGGGCAAATGTGCCGAGAAAATAGGATGGCTGCGGACCTAGGAGATGCAGAAGAAAACGGTCTCGGTTTTGTGGCTTCTCTAGTTCGCGGTACAATCCCTGAGTCTTTGGATTTCCGTGAGCAACAGTCTGTCCTTATAATGAAGCCCTTACTCAGGTTGAGTGGAGTGGGTCTCCGGGGTCCTGCAGCCAGAAAGGCCGTGGCTGGAGCAAAGCGCAAAGCTGCACAGTGAGCAGTAAAGGAGCAGGGCCGAGGTCTACGTCAGGGTGTGCAGGACTCTTCCTGCCTGGCTAGCAATCTTCCAGCAGGCCTCATCCTTGCACAGAGCAGTCTGCAGGCTCCCAGACAAGGAATAAAGCCCATCAATAGCGCCTGCGCTTGACTTCCTGTTCTGAGAACTCAGGGACCCACCCATCAGGAAATGCCACCCCCCCCCCCCCAATCTTGAGCCTTCTGCTAGCTAGAGAATGAAAAATGTCTTAGAATTTTATGCTCTTAGAATCGTAGGCATGGAATCTTAGGTGTGCGATTTTATTGTCAAAGACTTAGACTCTGATTGCCACCAAATCTTAGGATGGCCAACCTGGATTTTTGTGGACCTACCTACAAGAACTGCTTAACCTAAAATTCCAGATTAATTTCCTGCCAGACCCCAGGAAAGCTAGTTGTACATAACTGCAATGGCAAGACCCCCACAATGGTTTGTGATTTGTTTTGCATTTGTTCCTTTCTTCAAAACAGGGGTGGGGAACGTCTGGCTGAAGGGCCATATAAGGCCCACAAAATCACTTGGTCCGGCCCTGCCAAGCATTAGGGGTGAGTTAATTAATGACTGACCAGATACAGCAGGCTAATTTTTAAATTGGTATGGCCCATGAATGATGTTATAAACATCTAAATGGCCCTTGACAGAAAAAAAAAAAAGGTTCCCCACCCCTACTAAAAAGCTATACTCACTGCTTCCCTCATATCTCTGATCCTCAGATGTTAAGCAGGGATAAGCCAGCCCCTACACTGCTTCTCATGTGTCCAGTGGCAGGTGGAGAACAGACTGAGAGGTTCAGCCCTGCCCACTCCTCCCCCGTCCCTTCACCCATGATGGAAAACCATCTCTTTCCTCTCCTGCTTCCTCAGGCAGGCACACTGAATCCAAAGTAGTTTGCTGGCACCGTTGGAAAGTTGGTGCAGTTTGTCTGCTTCCCAGGCTTCCCTGTTTGTTTCCTTCCCTGCTTTTCCTGTCCCCAAGGTAATGCATTTCTCCCCCCATGGCCTCCTCCTGTCAAACTTTTTCAATAAACTTCCTTTCGGATCATCTCTTTCACACCAGTCATACGAGCGGCTAACTAGTGTAGCTTCTCTCAGGGTATCTGCATATTGACCAAAAGCCAAAAAGAGATGGGAAACCCCATTTCCAGGACAGATCCTATGGGCTCGGCACTTCACACATGTAATTCTCTCAACAGCCCTGGGAGTAGCATTCTAATCCTCATGTTACAGATGAGGACACGGAGAAACTGACCCAGGTCTCGGGTAAGTATAGGAAGAGCCAGAATTTGGACCAGACCTGCCAAGTTCTGTGCTGCCTCCTAGAACATAGTTCTTCCTGGGAGATGTGTCATCTGTGTCTAGAGTTGTCCCTTTGTCCCAAACCTCTTCCAGTGCCCTGGTCTCTCTGTTCCCAAACTGCTTTCCCTCTGTGACCTTGTACATCCTCTTCCTCCACTGGCTTTTTCCCTCTGATTTCTATCCCAAATTCTAGGCTCAAAGATGCCTCGTCCAGAAGTCTTATCAACCTTCCCAGCTCTCATTAATCACTTGTTTTATGCACAGAGAGCTCTCGGGGTGTTGTGTCCCACTGCGTGGCTTTTATTCCTTCTCCTGGGGTCATATTGTGTCAATACACCTGTCGTCCACCCTGCCCCAACTTTGGATTCTTTACAGCAGGAACTATAACTGATTCAGCCCCAGGGCCTGCGCTGAGCTTGGTACAGGAGACAGGCTCAATTTGGGTGGTTGGACTGAGTAAACTCGCAGCAGTGATGTAACTACCTCAGTTGCAAACAGGTGCTTCCATCACTAGGTCCCCAGGGCTGAGGCTGGGGCCAGGTCTGCAGCCCAAGGACCTTTGAGGCCCAGAATCCAACCAGAAAGCATGCGCTTCCTTTCCTCTTCCTCTCCAGCCTTAGGCCAGTTATCCAGTTCTGCCGCTGGGAAACGGAGACAAGAAAGCAGGGACGAAGCCAAGGTCAAGCCATGAACCAATGACAGATTCAGACTTGAGCCTCACTTCCAGATTTGTGGGCCAGTGTTCTCTGCCCTTTCGGGGCTGCCTCCTTTGCCAAGTCTAAAGGACAACCGGCCTTCCATTCCTTCACTCAACCAGTACATACCAAGCACCAGCCAAGTGCCAAGCATAATGCCAAGCTCTGGCTCTAGATGAGAACAAAACAGACCTGCGCTTAGCTTCAGGGAGCTCACAGGCTGGACCCTGCACAGCAGGTTACACATGGCCTTGTGGGCTGCAGTGGAGACTTGTGGAGACGAACAGGAAGCTGTGGAAGATTGTAGCTGGCAGAGCTGGCTGCCCTCCCCCTCCACACCAGTCATACGCATCCTCCCGTATTAGTGGCCTCTTCCCAGCCCAGTTGGGAGGAGAGTAGGGCTGCCCCTGGACCTCGGGACCTGGTCCTTGGCCACCCCCCTCCAGCAAGCCACTGCTGAAGCCAGACCTTGCGCTTCCAGGACTCTGGCTGGTTGGGGGGGGGCTAGTGGGTGGGTGATCTTTATTTAATTACAATGTTAAACACCCCTGCCCACTGGGCAGCTGGGGGAACTGCCTGTCACACAACTGAAGCAGCAGGCGCTCCTTAGGGGAGCGCTGCAGAGTAAAAGCCTTAATGACCCCATAGTGGAGTAATGAAGATAAATCACACCTCGCGCTGCCTGCCCACTCCTTCCTCTGCGTCTAGCACCAACCTCAGGCAGCCAGAAACGCCCGTGGAGCCAGTGTGAGCCAGGCGTGGTGAAGGAAAGCAGGTGAGATTTTTCAGTTGCAGGGTTCCAGAATCTCGGAGTTGGAAAGAACCTTAGTCATCGCCTCTTCCAACTTCTCCATCTAAAGCGGGACTCCTTGCCCGGCTGGTGTGGCTCATTGGTTGAGTGTTGACCTATAAACCAGGAGGTCACTGATGGATTCTTGGTCAGGGCAAGTGCCGGGGTTACAAGTTCGATCCCCAGTGTGGGGCATGCAAGGAGGCAGCCGATCAAGGATTCTCTCTATCCTTGATGTTTCTATCTCTCTCTCCCTCCCTTTTCCTCTCTGAAATCAATAAAAAATATATTTAAAAAAAATAAAGCAGTGATTGTCATGAAAGGAGGGTCTAAGCCACGTGCACACTCTGGCAGACAGCTCCCTACCTCTTGAAGGAACCAATCCATTTTTCAACAGGCCTATCTTTTGAGTTTGTCCTTTTATTATTAGTTGAAATCCTCTTTCCTGTCGTTTCTATCATCTGATTCAAGTTCAGCTGCTGAGGCCACACCGAACAGACCCTGATAAGCATGGTGACCTGAACAAGTTACTTATGCCTGGCCCCGTTCTCTCTCTCTGCTGTGGTACCTGTTGCAGCGTTTGAGTTGTTCAGAAGGTGGCTGGCTCCTCTGCCGATGGCCCGGCCCAGCCCTGACCTGGCTTCAGTGCCAGCTGCTGAAAGCAGAACAGGGCTCTCCCGGCCCTAATCGGGCGCCAAGGGAGCAGCCCCCTTGTGGACGTTGGTGGCCGGATGCCAAATGAAGTGAAATATCTCCTTTTCTCAGACTGTTAACTTTTCTTGTTTAAGGAAAGGGAGGATAATGACATTTAGCACTTTACAACTCAGTAACGAAGTGGGCAGATGGAAAGCAACCCCCAGCCTGGCAGGCATGCTTCCATGAGAACCCTCTCTGGCTCTGGGGGGCTGAAGTCTCCCTGGCAAGACCATGCCCTAGTCCAGGCCACGCCGGAGCACCTTTCCGGCTCCCAGGTCTCTGATTTTGAGGAGGAGAGGGATGTTCAGTGGTGAGAGAAAACGGCGGAGCTGCGGGAAGCTCCAGCTGGCCTCTAGGTGGCCACAAAAGAACAATTGGACAGAGCAGGGATAGTTTCCCACAGGGAGGACAAAGAAACTCATCATCATCGTCATCACCATCACAGCAATTAATGAGAAGTTGCCATGAGCCGAAACCGGTTTGGCTCAGTGGATAGAGTGTCGGTCTACGGACTGAAAGGTCCCAGGTTCGATTCCGGTCAAGGGTATGTACATTGATTGCGGGCACATCCCTGGCAGGGGGTGTGCAGGAGGCAGCTGGTTGATGTTTCTCACTCATCGACATTTCTAGTTCTCTATCCCTCTTCCTTCCTCTCTGTGGAAAATCAATAAAATATATTTAAAAAAAGAAGAAAAAAGAAGTTGCCATGAGCCAGCCACACGCTTTACCTCGCTTCACCTCAGAAGCCCATAAGCGATGTTGTATCCAGCTGTTATCTCCATGGTACAGGTGAGGAAACTGAGGCTGGGAGAGGTTCAGAAACTTGCCTGAGGTCTCTCCACACTGCCTGGAATGGCAGGCAGGAGAAAGAGTACTAAGGAGTGGCTTTTTAACTATTTGGGGCTTAGATTGCTCTCTTGTCACATATGTTGCCGTATAAACTTTAAAAAATCTGCATGTATTTTTCATGTTTATGTTTCCAAGCCCAGCAATAGCTCCGTGGTGGGGCTTGTTCAGTTTTGGCATGAAAATGGTTTCATTAAACTGCAGCTCCTCTGTGAGTGTATTTGTTATCCACAAAGTAAAAGAAATAAACAAAAGCACCTCGATATGTATCGGGGAGATCTATCGTTTCACCTGCCCAGAGCCCCTCCCTGTGGGGTACCACGCCCCTCTTCTTCCTGGGCTGGGAACTGCCCCTTCCCCACCAGCATAGCAGGGGAGGGCTGCCACCCACACCCAGACCCCAAGGGCTGACATCTGCCCCAGGCTGGGCAAATGAGTCCTTCCCAGAGAGTCTTCCAACTGGGGGCGGGGACAGAAAATGCTCTGTCTGCCGAAACAGCTATTAGCAGCTGCCCCGATTAGGATTAGGCTTCGCCTTCATCAAAGACCTGAAAACAGTAACTTGAACAAGATGGCAGTTTATCCTATGAGGCAGCTCAAGTATTACTTTAGTGCCTGCCCATCTCCCAGTCCCCTCACCTACCAGGTGCCTGCTGAAGGCATCCTACTGCAAGCACCCACCACTGTCCTCCTGACTGGAAGCACTGGGGAGCTGATGGGGGCTTCGACTAATGGGGGCTGGACCTCGGAGAACAGCCCAGCCTCACTGGAGAGTTGGGGGGAAGGTAGGATCATCCTGAGGCAAATTCCACACTCTTCCTGAGGTCCCATTGGGACCGAGGCCGGTTGCCCACAGCAGTAACCCGCTTGCTCATTGTCACACTGTATTTATTCTTGGCCCTTCCCTCTCTCGCTTCCCCACTCCTCTATCGATGTTCCCTGGGAATCTCCTCCCAAATCAGCTGCTTGCCTTGGAATCCTTGATTCAGGGTCTGCTTCTGGGGGAGCCCAGCCTGAGACAGCCTTGGAGTCCTTTATCCCAAGAGGAGGACTCCCCCACCTCAGTACTCCCTGGCCACTTTCTTTCAACCTCTAATACAATACATCATAGTCTATCTTGTTGTATTTAGTAAGTATGAGGAAAGGGTGAATATAGGAAATACATTAAACTGAGTCGCTTAGCCGAGCTGCTAAAATATGAAGGTTAGTGATGAGGAAGCTATCCTATTCTTGTTCTAACTGGCTTGGGAACAAACTTTTTGGACATTCCAATCCTGTGTCGATGCCAGGATACACATTTGGACATACTCCAGACCTCCAGATAAACCTCTGGTTACTCCCTGAAGGACTCATATATCCGGTCCACCTGATATCGATTATCCAGACCCCTGGCATCTGACTGATAACCATCGTGGACCAATCTTAGGGCTAAAAGTGCAGGACAGATAATTCTCAAAAATGTTCTTTTTATTACAAGAACTCTTCTCTTTCTTCTCCAAAAAACTTCTAGGATTTTGCCTAGCTGTGTTCATAGTTTGCAAATTATAAGACCCTAGAATAAGTCTTTATCATTTATTTCTAGTAAAGCCTTTTTTTTTTTTTTAGTTCATTTGACAAGTATAAAATAGAAAGGAATATGCATTTATTGAGTACAAGCTATGCACCAGGCACTGTACCGGGTATCTTGTGCTCATTCACCCATTTAGTCACTGATCAATTTATTCAACAAATATTTACTTAGCATTTACAATGTGGCAGGGGTTGGCAAATTCAACCTGCCACCTGTTTTTGTTAGTAAAGTTTTATTAGAACACAGTCACGAGCATTTGTTGACATACTTCTACAATAGCTTTCAGGCTATAACAACAGAGTTGAGTAGTTGTGACAGCAACTGTATGTCCTACGAAGCATAAGATATAACTATCTGGTCCTTGGTCTGGGGCACTGGGTGTGCTGCAGTGAACAAAATAAACACAAACCCCACCCTCCAGGATGGAGCTTGCATTCTACTTGGGTTGAGGGAGAGAGAACACCAATAAACCCAAAACTAAGTAAGATATTTAGTATACTAAACGGTGATAAGTGCTAAGAAGAAAAATAAAGCAGGTAGGGAGTATCAGGAATGCTAAGGGCAAAGGGCAGTTAGGAGTGGGGATTAATGTGAGCAGTTTAGTGCCAGGAAGTCCTGGCTGTGAAGGTGACCTTAGAGCCGAGACTCCAGGTAGAAGAATAGCGGATGTGAGAGCCATCCTGGAGTATTAACAAGTTAATCTTATAATGAGCACTAAGTACCAGGTGCCCTTCGAGTGCTTTACATACATAATCTCACTTAATTACTTAAAAGTCTTCATCTCATTATACACTTAATCTTACAAAAGAACGGTCTGAATATATTTCCAATAGTCATACAGAATTTCCCATTTATAAAGTCCTTTTCTAACGTCCTTTGCTTGCCCTTCACAGCGTTTCGATGAGGCTCCTGGCCTCAGTGTAGTGTAGCCAAAGACCAGAAAGGTCAAGTCCCTAGCCCCAAATCACTCAGCCAGTAAGTGCTGGAGCCGGAAAGCAAACCCAGGTCTGTCTGGACCCAAACACCGTATTCCTCTCTCTGAACCACCAGCTTTGGACAGCAACGGATGCCACCTCGTTCCATCCAGACCTCACCCAAATCCTGCTCCAAAGAGAAAAGGCAACGTTGTATTGAAAGGAACTCAATTTCCATCATCCTTCCAGATACAGTGCCCAGAACTCACATTTGACCATTTCCTGACGATCAGTGACTACTGCTGGCTGTGCCCAGCACTCCGCCGAGCTAACCCAGAGCAGGTGCTCAAGAGGGAGTTGTCTCCAGATGAACCATTACCGAGGCTTTCGTTTTGTTCTTTTTACTGCGGTTTCGTTTGGTTTCATTTTCAGCAGGTCATTCTTAAGAATTGAGGGAATTAAGTAGAAAGCCATTAATTCAGCAAATAGGCCTTGAGATTTACTATAGGCAAAATCTTTTTTACATAGAAAACAGGTTTATTCTGGCAGGGCTAGAGATGGCCCTCCCCTCGGAGAGCTCACAGTCTGCAGGGGTGTGTCCTGCAGGACCCAGTGTGTGCCGGGCCCAGTGCTGAGCCCTTTACATGGGCCAACTCTGCATCTTCATCACAACCACCCGGGGGAGATGTCACTACTACTGTACAGATGTGGCATCTGAGCCTCAGGGAGGTGGGGGCTGCTGAGAATCTCATCCATGGGCACAAAGTAAGTGGGTGGCAAAACCAGGATTTTCAATCAGGTGTGTTTGTCCCATATAATGTACACACTCAACTGTCACATTCCTCAGGGAGCGGATGGGCCAACTGAGAGACTCAGAGGAGAGGGGAGTCCTTGCTTGTGAGGACTTCAAGAAAGGCTTACCGCCAAAACCGGTTTGGCTCAGGGGATAGAGCGTGGGACTGCACACTGAAAGGTCCCAGGTTCGATTCCGGTCAAGGACATGTACCTTGGTTGCAGGCATATCCCCAGTAGGGAGTGTGTAAGAGGCAGCTGATCGATGATTCTCTCTGAGAGAGAGAATCTAACTCTCTATCCCTCTCTTCCTCTCTGTAAAAAATCAATAAAAATATGTTTAAAAAAAAAAAAAAAAGAAGAAGAAGAAAAGAAAAACTTACC